GATACGACCGCAGATGTCGAACCCTGAACAGTTGGGGCAAGTATGGACACAACATTCAAGCTTGATACAGCTCTGAATTTGGATTGTGATTAAATATTTGACACAGCATAGGTTTATGACACAGAATGAATGTGGTCTAAGAAGTTAAAAAATTTTAATTTACCTATTATGGTCCAATATCCAAAATCTAAATACATACACAATTAGATTCAGCATATCAAACTTGAAAGAACCCCAAGAATTCATTTTTTGTTAAAATCAAACTAAGTCTAATTTTGGACCCTTTGGACCTTAATGTAGACCAATTTGAAAACGGGACCAAAGATTAAGAATCTAAATACATGGTTAGATTCATTTTTCATGAAATCAAACCATATCATCATTATTTGCTTTTACATATAAATAAAAAATAACCAACTTAAAATGGAAAATTTTAAAGAAAAAAAAGGAAAAAAAGGAAATAAATGTGGATAGTGTCCACATGTGGACACAGATGATGTCCCCGCTTGCATATCATATAGTTATAAAGGGAAATAACTGAAGAACGGTAAAAGTGACGCTACCCAAATTTGAACTTGATCTGAGTTTTTTGGTAATAAGCATTGTGTGTAAGTCTCATAACATTTGGTTGAGGCTAACTTAAGAAGAGAACAGAAACTAAAAATTCAGCAATTTTTCTATTTGTAAACACGCATAACTCTAGAACGGTTGTGTATAAGTTTTATAACAATTGGTTGAGACAAACAACATTGTTAAGTTAGAGAACGGAAACGAAAAATTCAGCAATCTTTTTTTAAAAAGGGACATAACTCAAGAATGGTAAAAGTGTCACCACCAAATTTTGTACTTAATCTGTAGTATGTAGTAATAAGCATTGTGTATAAGTTTTATAACATTTGGTTGAGGCAAACTAAAGTTATAAAACGGAAACAAAAAATTGGTACTTGATCTTAGTTTGTGGTAATGAATAGTGTGTATAGGTTTCATAATTGTTTGTTTGGGGCAAACTAAAGTTACAGAATGGAAACAAAAAATTTTGCAATTTTTCCATTTATAAAGGGACATAACTCTAGAACGGTTAAAGTGACACCACCGAAATTCAAACTTGATCTGTGTTTTGTGGTAATAAGCATTGTGTATACGGTTCATAACATTTGGTTGAGGCAAACTTAAGTTAGAGAAAGGAAACTAAAATTTGGCAATTTTTCCATTTATAAAGGGGCATAACTCTAGAACAGTTAAAGTGATCCACTAAAATTAAAACTAGATCTGTGTTTTGTGGTAATAAGCATTGTGTATAAGTTTCATAACATTTGGTTGAGGCAAACTCAAGTTAGAGAACGGAAACCAATTTTTGGACGTACAGACGGACAAGAGGTAAAACTTAATGTCCCCACCGCTACGGCGGGGGCATAAAAAAAAAAAAGGAAAACAAAAATGGCCCCCCCCCCCCTTCAATTTTTTGAACCCCCTAATGATTCATTACCCTCAAACTCAATCCCGGCCTTCCCTTTGTGGAATGGTACCTTGCAGTAAAATTTCAGAGAGATCCATACACTTGAACACAAGTTATTGTCTGGAAACTGTAAAAATGCTTGTTTTTTGGCCCCTTATTCCTAAACGTTTGGGGCAATTACCCCCAAACTCAAACCCAGCTTTCCCTTTGTGATATGGAACCTTGTAGTATAATTTCATAAATATCCATACACTTACACACAAGTTATTGTCCTGAAACTAGAAAAATGCTTGTTTTTTGCCCCTTTTTGGCCCCTAATTCCTAAAATTTTGAGGCAAATACCCCCTTACTCAATCCCAGCATTCCCTTTGTGGTATGGTACCTTGCAGTACAATTTCAGAGAGACCATACACTTGAACACAAGTTACTGTCTGGAAACTAGAAAAATGCTTATTTTTGGCCCCTTATTCCTAAACGTTTTGGGCAATTACCCCCAAACTCAATTCTAGCTTTTCCTTTCTGATATCGAACCTTGTAGTACAATTTCAGAAAGATCCATACACTTACACACAAGTTATTGTCATGAAACTAGAAAAATGCTTTTTTTTTGCCCCTTTTTTTGCCCCTAATTCCTAAAATTTTGAGGAAATTACAACCAAAATCAATCCCAGCATTCCCTTTGTGATATGGAACCTTGTGGTACAATGTCAGAGAGATTCATACACTAACACACAAGTTATTGTCTGGAAGTTACAAAAATGCTTATTTTTGGCCCCTAATTCCTCAATTGTTGGTGCCAACCTTCCTTTTGTGGTATTGAACCTGATGGTAAAATTTCATAGAGATCCATTCACTTAAACTAAAGTTATTGTCCGGAAACTAAATGCATCTTTGGACGACGCAGACGACGACATGATAGCTTTATACGACGCAAAATATTTTTTTCATTTTACCCCTATGTTCTATTTGTAGCCATGGAGGCCATGTTATTTGACGAAACAGTAAATAGAACACAAACTTTATTCTTGATACCCTAAGCATCATTCAACTCAAGTTTGGTTGGAATTGGTTCAGTGGTTTCAGAGGAGAAGATGTTTGAAATAGTTTACACCAGACGGACGCCAAGTGATGGCAAAAGCTCACAGTTCCTTCGGAAAGGTGAGCTAAAAACTAAGAGGCTCTAAAGAGCCTGTGTCTCTCACCTTGGTCTATGTGCATATTCAACAAAGGACACTCTCCAACATTGTAGACGAGAACAGAATGCATGACAAAAATCTCTATTTTGTTGATCTTGTATTGCTGATTATTTTAAAATAGTCTGTTTAGTTTCTATCTTTTTTGCTCAAAACACAAGAAGGTTAAAAAAACCCTCATTTAAGGACAATCACTCCTATAAAGAGTGAAAGTCTACTAACTGTATTGGCAAAATTGACTTGATAGTAGATCTTGCCTTGCTGATCATTTTTGTGATTTAAAGTGTCTACCGGTACTTATATATTATAATTTTTATCATATAAGGCAAAATAAAAAAAGGGTAAAAATCGTCATTAAATGGCAACAACTCCAATAAGGAGTTGTTTGACGGTTTCCTCCATATTGTCTTGATTGTAGATCTTGTCTTACTGAATATTTTTGCTTATTTAAGTTTCTATCTATCTATTATAATTTTTAAGATACAAGGCAAAAATGCAAACTAGAGGCTCTAAGGAGCCTGTGTCGCCCACCTTGGTCTATGTGCATATTAAACAACGGACACAGATGGATTCATGACAAAATTGTGCTTTGGTGATGGTGATGTGTTTGTAGATTTTACTTTACTGAACATTCTTGCTGCTTACAATTATCTCTATCTATGATGAACTTGGCCCAGTAGTTACAGTGGAAAATATTTCCCTTAAGGGGTCAATTGACAATTTTGGTCATGTTGACTTATTTGTAGATCTTACTTTGCTGAACATTATTGCTGTTTACAGTTTATCTCTATCTATAATAATATTCAAGATAACCAAAAGCTGGAAAATTTCTTAAAATTACCAATTCAGGGGCAGCAACCCAGCAACGTGTTGCCTGATTGGTCTGAAAATTTCAGGGCAGATAGATCTTGACCTTATGAACAATTTTATTTCCGTCAGATTTGCTCTAATTGCTTTGGTTTCAGAGATATGAGCCAAAAACTGTATTTTACCCTATGTACTATTTTTTAGCCATGTCGGCCATCTTGGTTCGCGGGCGGGGTCATCAGACACATTTTTTAAACTAGATACCCTAATGGTGATTGTGGACAAGTTTGGTTAAATTTGTCTTAGTAGTTTCAGAGGAGAAGATTTTTGTAAAAGACTATAAAGGGCAATAACTCCTTAAGGGGTCAACTAACCATTTTGGTCAAGTTGACTTATTTGTAGATCTTACTTTGCTGAACATTATTGCTATTTACAGTTTATCTCTATCTATAATAATATTCAAGATAACCAAAAACGGCAAAATTTCCTTAAAATTACCAATTCAGGGGCAGCAACTCAACAACGGGTTGTCAGATTCATCTGAACAATTTTACCCCCTGTCAGATTTGCTCTAAATGCTTTGGTTTCAGAGATATAAGCCAAAATCTACATTTTACCCCTATGTTCTATTTTTAGCCATGACGGCCATCTTGGTTGGTTGGCCGGGTCACCGGACACATTTTTTAAACTAGATACCCCAATGATGATTGTGGCCAAGTTTGGTCAAATTTAGCCCAGTAGTTTCAGAGGAGAAGATTTTTTGTAAAAGTTTACGGACGACGGACGCCAAGTGATGAGAAAAGCTCACTTGGCCTTTTAGGCCAGGTGAGCTAAAAATTTGTAAAAATCATCATCAAAGAGCAACAACTCTAATAAGGGGTCAACTGACCATTTCCACTGTTTGGACTTATTTGTAGAACTGGTTTTGCTGATCATTTTTGCTATTTAAAGTTTCTCTCCATCTTTTAAAATTTTCAAGATAACAGGCAAAAAAAAAAAAAAAAAATTTGTCATTTAAGGGCAACAACTCCTGTAAGAAGTCACCTGATAGTTTTGATGAATATTTCTGCCCTTGTCAGATTTTCTCTATAACGGTTTTCCAAATAATAGACTTGCATAATATACCCTGTGTTCTATTTTTAGCCATGTCGGCCATCTTCGTTGGCAGGCGGGGTCATCGGACACATCTTTTAAACTAAATACCACAATGATGATTGTGACCAAGTTTGGTTAAATTTGGCCCTGGCCAGTAGTTTCAGAGGAAAAGATTTTTGTAAAAGTTAACAGATGATGACGAGGGATGACAAGTGATGAGAAAAGCTCACATGGTCCTATGGGCCATTAAATAAAGTCCAGTTAAGTCTGACTTCTTGTTGAGGAGATCTAGCTGTCAACATGTTTGTCCATACGGTCATCCCCATTCTTCATCCTAAACTTCAATGAGGAAATAAATACCATTAAACAACATTTTAACAACAATGGTGTAAAGTAAAATCTAAATCCTGGATCAATTTGTTTTAAGGAGGCAAGATAAACATACTACATAAGAAGTATCAAAAGTTTTATTGATTATTAATTGTCCCATTATTTGTTAAACAGATTATAGTATCCTGCTTCCTTCCATTCTATCAAAAATAAATTACAAAATAGAGGCTCCATCACAGGGTTGTGTCATTTCTATGTGAGAGAGAGAGAGATTTCTATACTACCTTTGGCTTAGTAGGTCCTAACAAACAAACACAGACATTATATATTTTGATTGTTCACATAAAATACACATATCATAATGACTAGCTTTAATATTAACTGATTTCTTGTTGTTTGAACAACTTTTGTTTTACACAAAACACATGTAGAGATAATTTCAAATAGAGATTTTTTAGAAATATTCAACGTTTCAATTTTGCTTTGTCTTTTTACATAAATATTTTTAATAAAATAAAAATTCAATACCATTGTTTTATTAAATTTTCCTGTTATGATTTGTTCAAGCAAACCCTTTAAATTACAGATTAATTGATCGATCGATGTTTACTTAATGTCCAGTGGCAAATGATTAATGCTATAAATAACAGAAGTCTATCCCTCTTTTCTAAGATAATGGCTATTGAGATGATACAACCCTGAAAGTCTATCCACATATGTCGTGGACATTATGATATGATATTTAAGCACTATAATTCTGTGAAAATAAACAGTAATTCACATTAGGCCATACAAAATAACCATCACTGGACAGCTTAACAAATTCAAAACAAAGTTAATGAGGTGGGAGGCTTATTTCTTCTTTATAATTCACATTGGAATACTGGAACTTGTCTTCAGTTAAAAAGACCTGTTCTACAATTTATTTCTGACAGAAACAGAAAATGACTGTTGCCAAAGTACTAACAAATGTCATCAACAATTATAAAGAAAAACAAGTTACATTATATCAAATGATTTTGTGCAAAATAAAAACAAAAAACAAACATTCAAATTCATTAAATGTATCAGCAAAGATTAGCATGTATAGAAAACATTTTACAAAAGAGAGGGAGGGAAATTTTTTTCTTTGTTCAGCATTTTATAGTTTAATTATACTTTTGATATTTGTAAATTGGCATTTATACAAAAATTTGTAGAAAATCTTGTGTATTTCCTACACTGTTTTTGTCTGTTTTTATCTATTATTGTTCATGGCAATCTCATCATTTGACAAATTTTCCCTTGTGCGGACGTATTCCTGTTCATACCAGATATGTCTTAAACTGACAATCCTATCTTCAACATACATATAAAAATGACTGTACAGTAAAAACAATATTTAAATAACAAACATTAATTAATTCAATGTTCAAGTCTTAATTTTCCTTTTAACACAGTTTCACAAACAATTTAAACGAAACAAATTTTATTCATCACGATTTAAAGTTCTCTGGGTCAAACTCCTTGCAAACAAACTGACACAAATGTTTCACCACACAAACTCGGCTAACTGAAGCAGGATAAACGAAAGCTGATATTTCTTGATGTACTTTAAAGGAAGTGGCATTTCCATGGCAACAGTCAATGAGTGCACCAATTTGAATAACTGCACTGCCACTTGTTAGTGACACAAAGTTTGTTCATTAAGCAGTAAAGTTATGATTCATAAAGAAAGAGCTATGTTTGAAAGTTTTATACACAATGCAGTCAATACAGTTCCTAAATTGTTTTCAATTTAGCTTCAATATCTGCCTCGTCTAAATCACCCAGGTCATTTGCTTGCACTTCTATTTTTATAGCCTGTAATTTCTTTTTTACAGCGTCTTTACTGGATGCATATATCATCTTTTCTTTCATTGGAGCTTCATCTGGACTCCTGAAAACAAAGTAATAAGTTTAAATTAAAAACATCATTTACATTGTATACATGTATAGATTCTGTAAAATAATAATCACTGAACAAAATCATAAAAAAGGTTCAGCTTGAATCCTTAGAATAAGATAATCTATTACATTGTACATGCAAGTTAATATTATACAATTTGGTAAGGTTGATACTTATCAATTATGGACTTTTGACAAAGTCAAGACTTTATATATCGACCTGTTCAGATTATATTGACAGAGGAAGGAGTTCCAAGTGTCAATATAATCTAACAGTTCCATATATAACGTATTGACAGAGTGAAAGTCCTTAATTTATACATAACCTGCAAGGTTGGGCGGTAAATACCGCCCCTGGTTTTCCGGACAATACTCCTCAAGTGGTCAATACTGGAAAATACTGGTCGATTGAAATTTTCATGGTGGTTTTTACTATTTATTGAAGTAAAAAAATGATAAAAAGTAAGATATCTTAAACTTTTATCTTTTGGCATGTTTCAGCTGATATAAATGAATAAATGTGATGTGTTTTATTTATTTTTAACACTTATACCTACTAGTTTAGTCCTTATAAGTTGTGACATTGCATATTTTAGATATATATAAAGAATTGACAAATTAATTATTACAACATTTTTCAATCAAGATATTTTTTATTGAAAATGCATAATTTTTATAGGTACATAAAACTACAGGTAAATGAAGTTACAGGTGTCTTATTACCTACCGCCTGGCATTGCTAGGTCTGAACATTTAATTACTATAAAAACAACAGCCCCTAATAAATGATGACAAAACATGGTTGAAAGTAATAAAAGTGATATTTGAAGACTCACTTAAACAATAAAATATTTCCTGTCTATTAAATGTGAGACAAAAATCATCTTTATGCTGGAAATGGAAGGTATGAAGGACCTTTACTCTTATGGCTGAACTGTAATTTATGTTTTAAACCAAAAAATATATAATGTAGTATAAATTTTACCTTTACATACTCAATATTTACATGATTTACATACACACAGTACAACCACCTTGACCTTAAGCACCAAACTGAAACCTGAAGACCCTATTTGGAACTTCTGTACAATATAAGACAACAACAAAACCCGTGCAAAATGTAATGATTGCAATGCTATACTCATGATACTCGGTGCAAAAACCACCTGATGAGTTTCCTTGCCAGGGACGAAACATTTTTTATCTTATGTACTAATAAATCATTGTAAATCACTGTTTATTAATTTTAATTTATAATAAAAATAGAAATAAGAACATTCAAAATGACTTTAACAGTCTTCATGATAAACTTTAAAGTCTACAGGCCAGAGGATGAATTTTGTGAAAATTTTAGTTAGTTTCTATTGGCTTGTATAGATGATTTTTACAGGTCTGACAGCACTTTTACAGGCTTGGCTGGATTTTTAATATCAACTGTCATGACTCGTTTTCCATTAATTTTACTTTTTTTTCTGGATACTTCATCAGTTGATATATTATGTGACCGTTTTGTGCATATTCAAATATATTTAGCTATGTGGAAAGACATGTATAATAGCAAGTTATAAAAATACAAATTATTCAGTCTCTATAAAAAATAAACTGTTGACACAGAATATGTCTCGGTTGTCGGCATAAAATTCAGAAAAAGGCAATCTGATGGACAGCAACATTGCTTATGTTATTAATTCGCTGGACCATGATTTAGTGGCCAGGGCCTCGAAATGGCTGATGAACTGAGATGTACAGACAATAATGTAACTTAATAGAACATATCTTTGACTAGTAGTCTAGTATTGTAAGTAGTTCTTATCAATCTAACTTGAGCAGAAAACTTAATATTGACCCTGATCTAGGGGGCAGGGCCTCAAATAATCATCAATCTGATATGAACTAATAGTAATGCAACTTCATACAAAATATTATTGATCTTTCTCAAGTAGATCCTATCAAATCAGGGTTGGCAAAAACCTGGGTTTTATGAGAATTGCCAAGCCCAGTGGGAAATACTGGTAATATGAAATACTAACCTGAATTTTAAAGAGGATTTATAATTAGTGATTAATCACAAATGCAATACATTAAATAAAGACATAGTATTTTAATTTATAAGTTCTTTTGGATTATTCAAACAAAGCTTGGAAATTAACGAGGTATCCTAAAATGTGCAAAACATGTATTCTGCCTCAATAAAATGAGTGTAGAAAAGGAAAAAACTTAATTTTCAATCTTCTAGAAATGACTCTCAATGGTTATCTGTATCAAATGTAAATTTTATACTTATTGACTGGGTAAAAGAGGAATAGTAAGTTTATCATGTTTATTGTCCCAGAGGTGAAACTATTGCCCTGAGGCATAGCCGGAAGAACGCGAAATAAAATTGCCATTTCACGATGAACGAACAATACAAAAAAATCTTGAAAGTTGATCTCTTTTCCCGATTTCACGAAACAAGGTGAATACATACATTTTTCACGGCTGCACGTGAAATAAAAATGGCACAACACGTTGCACGAAAATAACCCTTTACCACCCTCATTAACCAGGAAACCCTTGTTTTTCCCCTTGTTGCATCTAATTCCTAAACAGTTGGAGCCATAACCCCCAAAAGCCAATCCTAGCCATCCCTTTGTGGTATGGAAACTTGTGATATAAATTCAGAGAGATCCATACACTTATTGTCTGGAAGTTCTGGGAATATTGCCCAGCTATGGAAAACCCTGGGTTTTCCTGCCCTGGTAATACTTTGCCAACCCTGTATTAAATTAACTTAAGATGAAAACTTAACATTGAAAATTGCCTATTAATTCAAAGTCATTTGACCATATCCTAGGGGGGCAGGGCCTCAAAATAGTCGTCAAACTGATATGTACTGATAGTAGTGCAACTTTGTTTTAAATATCAATGATCTTTCACAAGTAGTTCCTATCAAACTAACTTAAGCAGAAAACTTAACAATTGTTGACGCCGTATTCATCGTCTCACTGGGCGAGACAAAAATTATAAGATTTCCACTGTTTTTTTAAATGCAAAATGGGTGCAACTTGGGTACTGTGAGGCTAAATAAAATTGGTCAACACTGTTGCAAGATCTTCCTCCATAAATTGGGAAAGTTGACAGGCCTTTCTATGTTGAATAGTTCTCATTGATATCAGATGTGAATAGGCTGTGTTGCAACATCTTGCATGTACATGTATGTCAAGTGATTGAACCCATTCATACTTCTTTCATTCTGCAGATAAACAATAGGTGGAAATTAGATGATACAAGATTCAAAACACCAAGTTGATCTGTCCCAAGTAGTTCCAGCCCAATAGTAAAATAATGAATAATAATTAAAATAAATGGAGAAAGTGTCCATGGGATAAAGATGATGCCCCCACTTGCATGCAACATTATAAAGGGACATAACTAGAGAACTGTAAACTTTAAAAGTGATGCCACCCAAATTCAAACTTGATCTGTGTTTTATGATAATAAGCACTGTGTATACATGTAAGTTTAATAACATTTTGTTGAGGCAAACTAAAGTTAGAGAACGGAAACAATAAATTCAGTAATTTTTCCATTTATAAAGGGGCATAACTTAAGAATGGTAAAAGTGACCGCACTCAAAGTCTAACTTGATCTGTGTTTTGTGGTAATAAGCTTTGTGTACAAGTTTCATAACATTAGGTCAAGGGAACTAAAGTTGAAGAATGGAAACCAATTACAAGATGTACGAACAGACAGACAAGGATAAACCTTAATGCTCCCTCAGCAATGGCGGTAGCATAAAAATTTGAAGGTATTGACAGAGTTCATTTATGGTAAGTGGAACTTACACAGTATAGATGTGCAAATCAAACAACATTTCTCAATTAGAACAGGTTTTATAACTTTAAACATAAACAAAGCTTGTATGCATCAGCTTGGGACTCTGCATGTACAGTTGTGTATGAAACTATTTGTTATTACAACAGTTAAGACTTGTTAAGATCAAAGTTATTCAAAATTTACTGATTAATGTTAATTGATGTTAAAGTTCATTATAACCTTTTAGCAAAAATTGCCATATTTACACTACAAACTTCTCTGAATACAAACAAACCTGTGCACCTGTTTGAGTTTGAGAGCATGGCTGGACATAAATAAACTTTAAATTGAATTTTTTTAAGTTTCAGAATATTTAAAACTTAACAGGATTTCGCTATTCATCTTTTTTCATTACTGCAGAAAGTGCCAAAATAAACTAAGTTTGAAAAGAGGTTTAAGAAGCTCCCCTCATATAATAAATGATGTGAATTGTATTGATTTAAATTATGTAACTAAGTGGACTATATCAAATGAAACTCCGGTTGGTATCTTTTGCAGACTGAAAATAGTGCACATCAATATCCAGGTAAGTATTTAATTTTCTAAAAACATATAACTTTTTATATATCTAGCCTCTAGGTCCAGCAGTGTTTTAAAACTTTCTGAGATGCTTCGTTTTGTTTGAACAGAGTAGATTTTGGGTTGTCAATTCCTTTTGATGAACCTAAATAGCTTCAGGAAAACATGTATAAACGTTTTTAGTATAATTTTGTTTACACAAATATAATTGAGAACGGAAATGGGGATTGTGTCAAAGAGACAACCCGACCAAAGAGCAGAAAACATCCCAAGGCCACCAAAATGACCAATGGGTCTTCAATTCATCTAGAAAATCCCACACCCGGGAACGGGCTTAGCTGACCCCCTAAATGAACTCATATAAATTCATAATTAACATTATGCTTTATATCTGTTTTATCCCTTGATGGCAATTTTTTTTAAATTGGAGCCGGATTAATTTTTAAATGTGGGGCAGAGGATTCATGTCAACTCAACCCACTTATGCAAAGGGTTTACATCAAACAGCATGTAAGCCTGCAAAGTTGCACCACTTCTGAAAATTAGTAAAATCCTGCTATATTTGGGCTTACCATATAATAAAATTGAGAATGGAAATGGGGAATGTGTCAAAGAGACAACAACCCGACCATAGAACAGACAAAGACATATGGTGTATATAGTGCATTACATATGCACAGATTTGCATTACACTTGCGAAAGAAATATCATAACGTTTGTGCTGATTATGAATTGATGAACCCCATTTATGAAATGCAATCTAATCTTGATTATTTTAGGCCTACCAACTCACCCCACCATTAAAAAGTAGGTTAATCCTGATGAATAAAGGTCTGCCAACTCTCCCAAATATAAACATTTTTTACCAACTTGCCCCACTTATGAAAAGTATTTTTTTATCCGGATACATAAAGGTAGCACTCTAGTTAGAAAATAAAATTAAAATTGAACTAAAAATGTTTAATCATCTGCTATTCCTAGCTTTCTAATGCATAAAGCCAACTGTTCGTGTCATACATGTGCATACGTGTATGTAATCAGTATCTTCCATAGATTCGGTTTTCAAGAGTTAAAATGGTGAAATATAATTCCTTTTTTGTGTATCCAGGCAACATTTTTTTCAAAATTATTTACCATAAAATATTGCAAAAAGGGGCATGAAAATGTCACATATATCCCTTCAAAATGTGGTTCTAACTAGAATTTTATTTTACACTAGCGTTCATATTTGAAAAATCCACAGGGGCCAAAATTTGAAACTATACACCTAACTGGAGTGCTACCAAAGCTCTGCCAACTCACCCCACTAATCAAAATCACTCATTAAAGAGTTAATTCCCACTGAATTTGAAAGAAAATTACAATATCTCCTATTTTAGTGTTATTTTCAAATAAATACAACTACATAATAATATCCTATCTACAATTTTATTTTAAGAAATGAAGCATCATCTAATTTCAATCAGTACATATATATCAAACTTGATTTTTCTTTTTTTTTTTATTATTAATTTTATAAGTGTTTTTGTCTGTTAACAAGTGGGGCGAGTTGGTCTGGGGCGATTTGACAGCTTCTGGCAAGATGGACCTGGGCTGGAATGACTTTGGACAGATCAAGACATGTTGCAACCAGTGTGAGCAATAATAGCACCTTTTACATTTTAGATATTAATGGCCAAAAAGCTAACACCATGGGCAAAAGATTAATGTGGATATGGCACAAACACTTTAAGTTAGACTACCCATATTAGAAGTAATGTACAATTCATATAAGTTATGATATATTTTTTTGCATTGAGTAAAGGTACGAAAAAGGGTGTGAATCAGGAGACGGTCGTGATATTCTTAAGCCACCTATTATAAATGGATAGTCGACCGTCCCAAGTGCCTGTGGGATATGGGGAGGGTAGGGCCGTGGTCTATTGATCAAAGATGGGCCTCTAACCTACGTTTTGAGTTTAAGTGTATCAGAAGAGTCTTAATGAGAATATGTTGATTCCTTTTAATTATGCTTTCCACATAATTTATATCGACTCGCACTTCACGACACACGCTGGACTTCAAACCTGCAAACCGGAAGTTAAGGGAGCTACCATTCGATTTTTATGGGGGGCTAGGATGAAATTTGAAAAAATAGGCAGGACAGGAGTTTTGAGTAAAAAAAAAGGCAGGATGAGCAACTTGGTAAAAAAAAAAGGCAGGATGACAATTTGTGTAAAAAAAATCAGGATAAACTAGTAAAAAAAAAGGCAGGACCGAATAGAGTAAAAAATAAAAAGGCAGGACAGAAATTACAACTAAAAAAAAAGCAGGACAAAGTTTTTCATCCTAGCCCCCCATAAATATCAAATGGTAGCTCCCTAATGCCGGTTTTGTCAGAAAATGTGAGCTATGTATTTGTGCAGAAACTAGCTTTCAAGAGAAGAGTAGCCCACTTTACTCACCACGAAACAAGAATAATTTTACTATGTTTTTGTCCATTTTCTGTGGTGTAGTTGTAATCGTATAAAACGTATCTTGGTTCTTTCGGCGGAAGAAACTTCTTCAGTTCTTCAAAGGGTAAGGTTCCGCATTCAAATTCCTGTTCTGTAACAATTTGCCTCTTTTCTTCCTTATTTATTTTCAGAACCAAAGCGTCTAATAAGTGCTTCGTTTTCAGTTTGGTGTCATATGTGGTTACAACGCTATCACCGAGTCCAACTCCTGACATGGCCATCTTGAAAGAAAAAGAGAATAAAACTAGTTCCGGTTTGATTATCTCTTCAAAAAAATCCGGTCAATAATCCACATAACATTTGGAAATGTGTTAGAAATAACCAATATGACATAAAAAAAAAAGGCAGAATTCAAATGTAAGCTAGTAACTGGTACCTACATGCTCCAAAGTGCTAGGGCAAAATTTAGTAAAAATGCTTTTCAACCAAATTGCAAGCTATGCAATGAATCTGAAGAAACCTTGGAACATTTCCTACTACATTGCTTAAGTCTATCTGATGTTAGGCAGCGATATATGGATTAATTATTCAAAATGCTACGAGAAATAGAAAGGGGTGGTACAGCAAATGTTATTAATAATGAACTATTACTCAAAATTATATTAGACTGCTCAGCACAAGACATAATGAGTAATCAACCAATAGACAAGTTGCTAGATATAGAAAGGAAGACACAAGATTTATGCTACCATTTACACATGAAGCGTACACAACTTTTATGTGATATCAAGTGACATGAAAATATAACAGTAATATTAAATATAGTCTGAACAGTCTGCATGGGATGCCAAGCTAACTGGTTCAGTCTATAAATATCAGCATAAAAGATAATGCTATATAATTTTAACATTAACCTTGGCAGGGCACCTATTGACTAGAAATCGTTAGGTTGTAAAAAATTTTATTTATTCATATTGGTGAATCAAAGTGCCGTAATTTGTGATGTGTGAATAATATTTTTTTTTTCTTTTTTTTTTTTATTGTATTAATATCTTTTAATATAAAAGACAAAGACATTATAAACTTTTATTTTATTCACTTTAACTAACTAATTTTATTTTAAAATCATATTTTTCATATTGTAAATATAAAAATATCCGCTTTTTCGGTTAAGTATTTAAAATTCTAATACTCATTCGATAAGTGGAGTGCTCCGATAAAACGGAGGAATATACCAGAACAGAACAGAACAGATAGGACAGGTGAAACCATGTAGGATCGAAATCGAGACGAAATTTATGGCATATTATGCTGCTTTAAATTTACCTAAACTTTTATTTTATACAGACGATCACTGAACCTGAAATGAATTTAAAAAATATATTTCTGATGACTATGAACAAATATTGATCAGCATTTTTGCATAAAAATTTCATCGATCGATTCCGATCCTGAAAGTTATGTGACATCATTAGGGGTGGGTTTTCGAAAATTGTGCATTGCTATATATGGACATGTGAGTCACATGTTAGATCAAAGACAGAAAATGTCCTTTTGTGGCTAATAAAACTAGAAGATCATATATGCTATTAAATTTTATTTAATATTGAAATTAAGAAGTAAAAATTAGAAGTTGAAAACTTTTTTACCTGTTTTTCTACATTTTTTTTTTTTTTTTTTTTTGTGTTTGTGTTTGTTAGTTAATTATATATACGTCCTTGTTTTTTTAAACGTAGGTATTTTGTGTCCTATTTATATTTACGTCGTACCAGTATTTATCTACACCTCTCGGCCCCCTTCCTCCCACCCCAACCTCCCATCTCCCTCAATAGCTGTCCACCCCCTCATAACATGTGGATTTACGTGGGAGGTAAACTGTAAGCCATAAATATGCGCATCTGTGATTCTGCGCTGAATATCACGTTGTTGCTTACAACGCTGAAGCAGGACATCATATTAGAATTTTGAGTTTTTGTAATCGAAACAACATGAACAAGGATGGTCACTACTGTGGAACATAATTTATGATATAATTATGTGGGAAACCCATGCAAATAGTTTATCCTACAAAAGTAAAGTCTCGAATATTATAGACTCATTATAACCAACTATACACAGGGGCGGATCCAGCCATTTTTAAAGGGGGGGTTCCAACCCTGGATAAAGGGGTTCCAACCATTTCTCCATTCAAAAGCATTGATGGTAATAAAGGGGGGGAGTCCCAACCCCCGGACCCCCCCCCCCCCCCCCTTTCCCCTGGATCCGCCACTGATACAATAAATGACAATATGTATATTTCAGATGAGTTTTTTGCTACTGGTCTGAATTCCAAGACGGCTGTTATCGTTGAACACAGTTTAGCATAGAACCTTCTGAGAAGGACACAGAAAATCTTTCGTCAGAACACATCTGCTGGTGGCACCACCATTCGTAAACTCGCTGAAGAAAACACTTTTAAACATACTAACAATAATAAAAGAATTAATTGCTATGGGGGTACTATCCACACTGAACTTTGTCCACCCTTGTATGGGAGAAATAAATGTATATTTCAATTTGTTTATGAAGCATAAAAAATAATAGTAATTAATTACCAGATTTTTTACCTTAATGTAAAGCAACACGAATGCTTGTAATTCTCCTTAAAGTTTATGTCAATCTATTGAATAACTATCCAATTTATAACAAACATTGCTTTTTCTGAGTTCTGACCACCGTTTTGCTTCTTTCCATATATGGGCAAATGGTTCTTCTTGTTTGACATAAAAGGATATTTACTTATTTTTTTTAGGTAATACCTTTTTTCAAACAGGAGTTATGTCCCATTTATAAGTTTTGTTTAGGAATTTTTTCTTACCTGTAATCTATTTTTATACGACTGACAACATTGTATATATCAATATATTGTATGTAAACAAAGACATATCCTTTTAACTTCGTCATTTGAAATCTGATGTATAGTTGTCTCATTGGCAATCATACCACATATTTTAGTCATTATTTCATTACGAACTTACGATTCTTTATACGGATATTATAGACCTCTACCCCATATTTGGAAAAGTTCCTTCAGAGCCGAATCAGTGACTCGACAAAGCCAAACCAACGCTAACAGTAAACATAAATTTAAATTATATTCATATATATGATGATCAATTTATTTGTGTCAAGTAATAAAAATCCCAGCGTGCACACAACGTTGAACCAACGTCAAAAATATGTTGAAATTTGGTTGTAGCGTTGATCAACGTAAAATCAACGTTGTATCAACGTCAATCCTATCCTTATTTTGTAGATCTTTTTATGCTGAATCCAAAAATGAAAGGAAAAAAGGGGGTCACTAGGCTCGTTTTCCCCTCAAATTGAAGCGAAATGTGCGATTTTGACCCTATTTCCAAACATTTCCACCCTTTCAACAATAACGGCTACACCAAATTCAAAGACTTTTAGAACCATGTCAATATGATTATTATGTGAAAAAACATTAAAATTTGAAATGTAAACGTTTCCCCTTGGTTGTTTTAGACCTAAAAGTCCATTTATTTACAGATTTATGTCTAAATTTTGCATTTTCTAATTTCAGTTTAAGGCTAAAAATATTGGTTAAATCTGAGACTACTATAACACATGTGTTATAGTAGTCTCAGGTTAAATCAATTTTTCGTAAAATTTCCCCGGTAGATTTTTTTAAAAAACGGATATGTCAAAGCTATGAACTTTTCGAGCATTTTAAGGTAAAATAAAATGGGGGTCACCAGGCTTTTAAAAAAGTTACGGACTTTTGTTTAACCCCTCTACCCCATGAGGTCTGATTTCAATGCACTCCAATAATTACTTTGTTGTGAATTCTTTATTGATGGCTTTATTAAAATAATGATTGCAATTATATCAATGGACGATAGCTGAATATAAATGTGATCAACATATAACTGTTTGTTATAAAAAAAAGCGAAATTTTGATTATTTTGGAGAAATACGGTAATTTTGTCTGGCGCGAGTTGTTTCCCTCTACATTGGCGCCATAATCGCACAACGGAAATTTCAGGGTCGTCATTGTGGATCAGCCTACACCACTGATGAATACGACCATGTACATGAATAACAGGCAAAGTGACGAATGGACAACGATGCAGGTAGAGTCATTACATAAGAAAACAGATTCTAATATTTTAGGCAGCCAAATGTTATCAGTATCACAAAATACAAAGGGGGGGTTGTCTCAAAATACTTGCTACTGTAGAAAATCTCTGCGCCTGAAACCTTGCATGGCTAAATTTCTGTTCTATGTATAATCGTTATGGCTGGTATCTTATTTATGTGTTTATTTGATCCTTAACAGGCAAGTTGTGAACATGTATAGCCTGTTGGGAAAAATATCGAGGGGATGGACAGGGTATGAATGACCTTTACTGCCAAGCATCACAAATCATCGTCAAATGTCCTTTTTGCGCTACCGTAAGGCTGAAATGAATCTTGATCTTTAATCGTCATTTGTAAAATCTAATTTCGTAGCTACGTTAGGGTCAAATCGAGTAAAATATTTATCGTTAACGTCTAATGTGGGGGTACCTTTATAACTGCCCTCGGACAGGGGTCCATGATTCCACTCCATATCCCCAACTCCCATTTCCCTTCTCTTTTAATCTAAAATATTTCCCCCCTACTTCCACTTCCATCCTCCTTGCTCCCAGACAAAAAATTGGCCAAATATATTTCCCAGAATATTCATCCCCCTCTATTCCAATTCTGGTCCTTTCACCCAAAATCATGTTAGCTCGCATTCACGTTCACCCCCTTTTACATTCGCACCCTTTTACATTCGCACCCCACACGTTCGCACCCTGGGTCTGTTTGCACCCTTCCTTTTTTTAATCGTGCTTTAGTTAGTATAGTTCTAAATTATGATAAAATAAAGATATATTGAGTTTATTTTATTGTTTAAAAATAAAGTGACACACACAAGATCAAAGGGCACAGGCTGTTAAAAACAATTATCTGGTCTTTTCTATTTATAATCTTTATAAGATTTACTTCTACCCTCAGCTTCTACCAAACTAGTTACTTTTATTTTCACTTGAGACCAAGCTAACAGACCCAATACCCCCTTTTCCCGCCCACTGACTCCCTCTTCCTGATCCCTCATTCCAATGTTTGTTCCCTTACCCCTGTCAAGAGTTTGATTGTTTTATTTGTTTTCTTGGGAATATAAATGATCTAATTTGTAAATTTTTACCCCTACAGTACGAGGCAATACATTTTATTGATGGATTCGTCTTGATCATAATTTGTTTACAATTACCCCCCCCCCCCCCCCCTTCTCTCTCTTTGGTATAATAAAAAATTCTTAAGGTCAAGTATCAGGTTTAAACATACATTGTAGGGCTTATTTAATTTACCAAATAACACATACAATTTAGTTGAAAAGTTCATTATTGTTTTGTGCTTAGCATTTTTAAATACAAAATTTGTGTATCCCTTATTCCAAACAGGGTACAAGTAACCTCAACATAATTTGGTTGACCCGAGAAGTCTGTATTCAATATGTAAAAACAAAATCATTATTTATACTTGCTGTGCATGTAATTTTATTTTGTTTGCTCATTATTGATTGTCACAAATCATTTTTTAGCTCACCTGGCCCAATGAATTCTAACCAAACTTGGCCACAATCATCATAAAGGTATCTAGTTTAAAAAATGTGTCTGATGACCCTGCCTGCCATTCAACATGACAGACATGGCTTAGAAATAGAACATACATGTAGGGGTAAAATACATTTTCTGGCTTATATCAATGAAACTAAACATTTAGAGCAAATCTAACATGGGATAAAAATGTTCATTAGATTAAGATCTATCTGCCCCAAAATTTTTAGATGAGTCCGACAACGTGCTGTTGGGTTGCTACCCCTTAGTTGGTAATTTAAGGAAATTGTGCAGTTTTTGGTTATTATCTTGAATATTATTATAGATAGCGATAAACTGT